TCTCTCTGGAAAGATATATGTCAAACGTACCTTGGCACCATATGCCCTGTGATCTGAAATTAAATGTACTAATACTCTCCACTCACCTTCTCCTCTCTGGTGGCAACATCACAGTACTAACAGAAATAGTGTTAGGTTGAAATTGCCACAAACTGGTCTTATCTCTTTACTAGATAGTGGGAAACTCACAGTACAGCTGTTCATTCATTGTAGCTTCAACGTCTCCTCTTTATTTAGCTTTTATAGATACCATGTAAAATGAGTTTAGCCAGTCTAAGCCCTGATCCTAGTGAATACCGGACACACTTGTATTCACAGATTGCCACAAATCAGCAGTACATGGAATATGTTACGTAGGAAGGCAAGAAGGGTGCATGGTAAGAATAGGAAGAAGTATCTGCTCTTGTAGCAGAGTTTCTCTTCTGAAGTTAGCCTCCTAATTAGAATGTTAGAGGAAGCTATATTCATGAAATTGAATCATACTGTAACACAACACAAAAGGAAATATTTTTACTCATTGTACCCATATCCAATTATTCCCATTCCACACAGCACTACATTTTGTTTTTCCCTTTAAAGTATAATCAATTCCCTTTAGAAGGTGAACAAACATTTATAATGTTCATTTTATTCTATTCCAGAAGGCCTGTGGATGAAAGATCGAACTGGAGCCAATATTTACACACATCTATATTTATTTAGAGTTGTATATCATAAGCATAAATCTCCCAACCCAACAACTATGGTTTTAATATAGTTTTTTGTCTGTCAGTTTGCAGAGAGTTCAAATGAATGCCCAGTTAATATCCACAGCCTCCATATGATTAAACACAATTAAACTGTTGTTAATAAACATTCTGCTGGTAAATTTCATATTAAAAATAACATGCTAATTATTGGCCAAATTAGATATCAATGCTTTGCAGCTACAGTGTATTAATCTCAGGATATGCACACTGTCTACGCACAGAATTCCTGTTTGAATGGAAATGATTTGTTAAATTCATTGTTTTTTTAATGTCAGTGTTTACACAAGGCATTTCAAGTAATATTAAACCCTAGATCAAATGGATTATGAAGACAGCCACAAGGTATTTTTTTAAAAATAAAGATTAAATTGTGCTTGTCTTGTATAAATCATGCTATTTAATTGAAAGTCATCATTAATCATTCATTCGTATATGTATACCAACAAATGTACCTGGTTAATTCAGTTCAGGTATGGTGGATTGGACATGATACAGGATGGTGTGTACTAAATCAGCTCCCGAGTACACAGAAGAATGTGTCATATTTGACTAAAAAGTGGCATCAAAGCACCTTTTCTCAACCTATACACACGGTACATTTTCAATTTACTTCATAATGCAGAGCTTGCATTGTCAATACAGTTCATTTTCCAGTGTTGATACATACTGCATCTTCTAACCTAAGTATTTAGTTAGCAATACTAAAACAATTACAACAGACATTACCTAGACTCAAGAGTTTGTTTGGCAGCATCCCTGAGTTAGAAGGTTTTGAGTTCCCCCTACTTTAGAGACCGTAGTTTCCCCTCCTCTGTAATTAAGGATGCCCTCAACCACATCTCCCCCATTTCCTATACTTCTGCCCTCAAACCCCTTCTCCCCAACAACAATAAGGATAGAAATCCCCCCTAGTAGTCACATACAACTGCACCATCAGAGAGGCAATGGCCTAGTGAGTATTATCGCTGGACTGTTAATCCAGAGACCCAGATAATGTTCTGGGGACCTGGGTTCAAATCCCACCACAGCAGATGGTGGAATTTGAATTCAATAAATATCTGGAATTAAGAGTCTAATGATAACCATGAATTGATTGTTGGGGAAAAACCCACCTGGTTCACTAATGTTCTTTAGGAAAGGAAGCTGCTATCCTTGTCTGGTCTGGCCTACATGTGACTCCAGACCCACAGCAACTAGGTTGACTTTTAACTGCCCTCTTGGCAATTAGGGATGGGCAATAAATGCTGCCTGGCCAGCAATGCCCTCATCCTGTGAATGAATAAAGGAAAAACCTCTGAATCCAAAGTATCATCCTCCGACACTTCCACCACCAGAAAGATATTTCCTTCCCCACCCCTGTCCGCTTTCTGCAGGGATTGTTCACTTTGTGACTCTCTCGTCAGTTCTATACTCTCCACCTCACTCGGTACCTTTCCCTGCAACCGCAAGAGGTGCAACTCCTGCTCCTACACCTCCCATTTCACCTCCATCGAAAGCCCTAAACAATCCATCCAAATCTGGCAGAGATTCACCTGTGCCTCATACAACCTGATTTATTGCATCCGTTGTTCCCGATGTGGTCTCCTCTCTACTGGGGAGACCAAATGCAGTCTTGGGAATCGGTTCGCGGAGAATCAGCGCTCTACACGCACCAACCAATCTGACCTTCTGGCTGCCAGCCACTTTAAGTACCCCCTCCCACTCTCCTGGTGACATGTCCATCGTTGGCCTCCTCCACTGTCAGAGTGAGGCCAAATGTAAACTGGAGGAACAACACCTCATATTTTGCCTTCAGAGCTTATAGCCCAAGGGCCAGAATATTGACTTCACCAGCTTCAAAATCCTTCAGCCTTATCCCATGTTCCGCCTGCCTGACCTGTCCTAACCTGTCCATCTTCCTACTCACCTATCCGCTCCACCCTTCTCACTGACCAATCACTGTAATCCCTTACCTGCATCCACCTATTAGCATCTTTCCTACCCTTCCCCCACCCCATCACCCTCCCTCTATTTATTTCTGGGCTACCCTTTCCCTCCCCAGTCCTGATGGAGGGTTTTGGCCCAAAATGTTGACTTTCCTGCACCTCTGATGCTGTCTGACCTACTGTGCTTTTCCAGTTCCATGTTCATAACTCAAAAACAGAGTGAGAGTGACTGCCTTTGACATCAAGGCCATATTTGACCAATTGTAGTATCAGGGAACCCAAGCAAAACTGCAGTCAATTGGAATCAGAAGAAAATTTTTCACTCGTTGAGTCATACCGAGTGCAAAGGAAGACAGTTGTGGTTGTTGGATGTCAGTCATCTCAGTCATAGGGTATCATGGAAGAAATTCCTTATGGTAGTGTCCAAGGCCCAACATTTTTAGTGGGCTTCATCAATAATCATCTCTGCATCATAAGATCAGAGATAGGGATATTCACTGATGACCGCACAATGTTCACACCATTTGTGACTCCGCAGATGCTGAAGCAGTCTATGTTCAAATGCATCAAGACTTGAACAATATCCAGGTTTGGGCTAACAAGTAGCAAGTAATGTTCACACCACACAAATGCCAGGCAATCACCAACTCCAACAAGAGAGAATCTAACCATTGCCGTACACGATTAATGACATTGTGATCACTGAATCCCCCCTTAAATCAACATCCTGGGCTTTACCACTGAACTGAAACTTAACTGAACTAGCCACATAAATACTGTGGTAGGGAATTCTGCACTGAGTAACTCACTTCCTGACTCCCCAAAGTCTATCCACCATCTACAAGGCACAAGTCAGGAGTATGATGGAATATTCTCAATTTGATTTGATTTATTTATTGTCATGTGTATTTTGTTATGAAATACAGTGAAAGATTGTAAACTAGCCTCGATGAGTGCAGCTCCAACAACACTCAAGAAGCTTGACACCATTCGGGAAAAAGCCTGCTTGATTGGTAATCAAACATCATCATCATACACTCTCCACCACCAATGCACACAAGCAGCAGTGTGCACCAGCTACAAGATGCACTGCAACAACTCACCAAGGCTCTTCTGAAAGCACTTCTAAACCCATGCCCTCTACCACCTAGAAAAAACACGAGCACAAGTACCTTTCTGAGCCCCATATGATCCTGACTTGTAAACATATTGCCATTCCTTTAGTGTTCATAGATTCTCTACAGTGCGAAAGCAGGCCATTCGGCCCATCAAGTCCACACCAACCCTCTGAAGAGCATCCCACCCACACCCAACCCCCTTCCCTATGACCTGTATTTCCCATGGCTAATCCTCCTAGCTTGCACATCCCTGAACACTACGGGCAATTTAGCATGGCCAATCCACCTAGCCTGCACATCTTTGGACTGTGGGAGGAAACCGGAGCACCTGCAGGAAACCCATGCAGACACGGGGAGATTGTGCAATCTTCACACTGACAGTCACTGAGGGTAGAATCAAACCTGGGTCCCTGGCGCTATGAGACAGCAGTGCTAGCCACTGAGCCACCATGCTGCTCTGTGTTGCTGGGTCAAAATCCTGTAACTCCCTCCTTAGCAGCACTGTGAGTGTCCCCACAACCTTAAGTCTGCAGCAGTTCAAGAAGGCAGCTCACATTTTCACCACAGATGAACAATAAATACTGTCTTAACCAGCAATGCCCACATCCCATGAATGAATAAAAAGATCACTAAAACCAATGTTCTGATCATTGCCTCATTGCAGTTTGTGTGACCTTGCTGTGTGCAAACTGGGTGCCATTACATTGCAACACTTCCACAAAGTACTCTATTGGTTGTAGGGTGCCTCGGGACACATTTCTTGTGTTTGTGTATAAGTAAACTTTAGGATTGCCACAAGGTAATTTTTCCCACGAAGTTACGCCACAGCTAAGTGCGAGCAAATGTTTGTGGACAAGATACATATGTGACACTGACAGCTCATTGGCCTGAAGCGATCAATGACTTTCAGTAAATCAGCAACTGGGCCATTATAATTCAAAGAGAATGGTCTAAAATGAAGGAGGGATGCCAAGCCATTCAAAGCAGATGGTTAACTACCCACCCTGAAGATGAAAACAATCACTTGCGATCGTAAGTGATAAACCAAGTCACATGGCTCTGACAATAGTCAAAAAAATCAGTAAAATTTTTAAAGTAGCAGAAAGATTATGGACAGGATTTAAACTGCAACTGTGTCAAATTCATCTACCAGCTGCAGTTTACACTCAACTGATTTTAGAAATGTAACAACTTAATTCCCACCTTACCTCGCCATTGTCGAGTCTTTAAAAGGACTTCAGTCTCAGCTGGAAGGGTCTGTTGGCAGAATGCTGTGGTACTTAGCTTATACTCACTTTGCTGGACTCTTGTAACACTGACTGAAGTTCAAAGTGTTCGTTGAACAACAAAGCTCATTAGTAAATTATCCCAACTTGGTAAGTATTGATTACCTTATCATGATTGGGGCACAGAGTACAAGGACAAGTAGGTGAAGATAAATTTCTGCAATGCAATAGTTAGGTCTCAGTTGTAATACAGTTTGCAGATTTTGACAGCCTATTGCAGAACAAAGATGAAATTAGAGAAATTCACCAGGAATATCCCAACAATGGGAAACTAAGTCATAGAGTCATAGAGCTGTACAGCATGGAAACAGACCCTTCAGTCCAACTCGTCCATTCTGATCAGGTATCCAAAATTAATCTAGTCCCATTTGCCAGCATTTGGCCCATATCCCTCTAAACCCTTCTTATTCAAATACCCATCCAGATGTCTTTTAAATGTTGTAATTTTACCCACCTCCACCACTTCCTCTGGCAACTCATTCCATACACACACCACCCTCTGCGTGAAAATGTTGCCCTTTAGGTCCCCTTTAAATCTTTCCCCTCTCCCCTTAAACCTATGCCCTCTAGTTTTGGACTCTGCTACCCTGGAGAAAAGACCTTGCCATGAAGAACAATGTTACACAAAGGGACAAAAACAAAAATTGCTGCAAAAGCTCAGAGCTGAGGAAGACTCAAATTCTCACATTAACTCTGATTTCTCTCCACAGTTGCTGCCAGATCTGCTGAGCTTTTCCAACAATTTATTTTTCTGTTTCTGATTTCCAGCATTCGCAGTTCTTTCGGTTGTTACATAGAAGGGCTACACACAGAGGACATGGAGAAGATATTGCCAAAGTATTGCTTTTTCCCAGGGTGGAAATGACTATTATGAGGGGGCATATTTTTAAGGTGATTGGAGGAAGGTATAGGGGAGGTGTCAGAGGTAGGTTCTTTACAAAGAAAGTGGTGGGTGCGTGGAATGCGCTGCCGGCAGTGGTAGTGGAGTCAGATACATTAGGGACATTTAAGCAACTCTTGGATAGGCACATGGATGATAGTGAACTGTAGGGTATGCAAGGTTTAATCTTAGAGTAGGACAATAGGTCGACACAACATCATGGACCAAAGGACCTGTACTGTGCTGTACTGTTCTATGTTCTATGTCTTTAAAATTACGAAGGGTTTTATAGAGTGAGTGGCGAAAACTGTTCTCTCTGATTGAGGTGTCAATGATGAAGGGTTATCATTAAGAATAATGAAAGAGCTTTTCATTATAGAATTATGTCATAAACCAGAGGACACCAGGTTATAGTCCAACAGATTTATTTGAAATCACAAGCTTTCACAGCGCTGCCCCTTCATCAGGTGAAGTGAGAAAGAAGCACACAGGCAGAGAATTTATAGGCAGAAAGATCATTGGGCAGTGAGATCAAAAGATCATTCAAAGTGGAGTGTCAACAGGCTGAATAATAGGTCTCTGCAGGTGATCAAGAGTGTAAGATGGTGTGAGTAAAGTGTCAACAGCTGAATAACAAGCGAAGGGATCACCTATAATCTCATTAAATGAGGTCATTAACAAGGCGAGTTTCAGACAAAAGTGGAGACCCTCTACTAGGGCCCCGTGGTGAGAAACTTTCCATGAAACTTGGTAACAATGACACTTTGCCAAAATCTGGGAAGATTTAGCCCATGGTATCATCTCCAACTATTTTCCTATTTCCCCTGACTTCAGACGTGCTTTTCAAGAATTTATCTTGAACATAGTCCTTATTGCAATCCAATCCACCAAATATTGCAGGATTGCAGCTGTGGACTGGGTAAAAGGCAGTCACCAGCTTAACCAAGGTGACACAAACAAATTCACGGATGTACAATCAGGACAAAAATAAAGACTGTTTAAACTGCAACATTACCAAGGCTACATGTTCCTGGCAAAACACTTGATAAGTGCTGATGAAAGCAATAGATTATTATAAAGTTAACAGCACAAAGATGCAAAGACTGAAAAGAATTGAACACAAGGTTACTAGACTGGGTGAGAAAACTCTTCATCCATCCTTCCCAGCATTCCAGCTCCCAATTTCAAGGTCTAGCTGTTTCGTCATTGGATCCATTATGTTAGCCACAGCCATCCTTGCTAGCAAGCCATTCCAACTGTTTGTTATTCTGCAGAAAGGAGTACTTCTGATATCTGCCTTAAATTACTTTTAATCTCACCTTTAAGCACAGAATGTGATGTTTGTCTTTTTAACTTGATTCTTGTTTTACTGACCCATGGTTATACTGTGTATAGCTGTAATGTAACTTTTTTTCCTTTATTTCTCTATTCTATAACTAAGGGTTGTACCTCGGTACTCTATACCTAAGATGGCACTGCAAGTGGTGACTTATAAACTTTTCACAGTATTCATTTGAGTACATGTGACAATAAAGCTAATTCAATTCAATTCAGACGGCACGTTTTGGAATGTAGACAGCTGAACTGCCTTCTGTTTAGCAGGCAGACGGCCCTTAATGAATTAAGCCAATTGCTCTGTCCATCCTTAGCGCTCCTGAGATACAGCTTCACACACTAAGATTGTGTGTTGGACACCTGAATTCTCGCTATGTGCTTACAGTGAAACTCAATGCCATGATGCAGCACCACAGACATCATGATCAAGAGGCCTGGACTGAAGATGAGCGTTCAAATTTCACCACTCCAACAGGTCAGAAGTTTAAATTAAGTTCAATAAGTCAATCCAGAATAGATTGTCTCAGTGGAGTCATAATTCCCCACTGCTGCCTCTCTTCCATGGCTATGTACATGCTTAGGAGTCCTTGGAAAAGGGAGCATATGGGTTCAACAGCACGCTCAAAGTCTTTAGAGAGAGGTAGGCACCACAGGGGCTGGAGAGCATTATATCCCATGCAAGACTATTTCCATTTCGTTTCCTCCATTGTACGCCCCCCCTCTTTATTTTTGTTATTTTGAACGTTCGTTAATTGTCATTTTGTTTAATTTGCTAATTGGGTGATTTAGTGATGGATCATCAAGAAAAAAAAGACAGTGTCAGTAATGGTGACATGGAACTATCAGATTCTTGTTAAAAATCCATCCGGTTCTCTAGTGTCCTTTCGGGGATAAATCTGCCATTCTTTCCTGGTCTGGTTTACACGTGACTCGAGACCCGCAGCAATGCGGTTGATTCTTCCATGTCTAGAATCACCCAAGAGTGAATTCATTTTTATTCAAGGAGATTCACTAGCACTTTCTCAGGGGACAAATAGGGAGGGCCAACAGTGCTGACTGGGCCATCAGTCAACAGTGCTGAATTGCAATGACATGCACACTCTGAGAAAGAATTTTTAAAAATATAGCATTAAGGACATCGGGCTTTCCTGATATCTAAAGAAAACAACTTTAAAAACTGCTGGCTTTCTGAACTTCTGAAAAAGATGAATAAAGTTTTGAATGTGTCATGAAATGCAAGTAATTCAATCCGAAGTCTATTTATTTGGCACTTACGATTCAGTAGTAAGACATAAAACATTGGTTCCTTGGTGGTTCAGTTCCTAATTGCAGTTCCCAGTGTGGGTTAGCCAGACAGACAAGATGTTCCTGGGTCAGCTTAAGTCATCTGTGACTGAGACGTTTTGAGGACAATTGAGCTCAGTAATTTTCAGCTCAGGCAGGAGGTAAACCAACCAGATCTCAACAATGATCAGATTTGAGTTTCTCTGGGTGGGAGCCAACACCGACAAGATGGACCAAGTTGGCTAATTCTGCACCGCAGACATCGAGAGTTCCTGATTGTTGTCTGAGGAGTAGTCCTGGTGAGGTCCGCATGTGTAATCATCGGATGACTGTAGCATTGAGTTAAACTGGGATATCCTCATGATGGAATGGCATTTCAGTGTTCACCAGTGAAACTCATGATAGCTGGACAAGAGGGAAGCCAACATTCAAAGAACCCTCATCCACTACAAATTACTGCTACCTTTTTGAAGCATCAAGAATCCCTAGTTAACTCAACATGCCGTATACTCTAAAAATGAGCTTCACTAATCAAGAAAGCTTGCCAACACCTTCTGAAAGGCAACACAAACTGCCAATAAAAGTCAATAATATGTGTCCTGAAATGAAAAGATAATGTTAATTCTTTGTTAAGAGGCCATGTTTGGGATTGCGTTGTGAGAATGGACTTTTATCTGACATGCAGATTTGGAAAGGGTTGTAAGTAATGAGACTCTATTGAAATCACTTGCTTGGGTGCTTCTCCCTGAGTGGAACACAAGCTGCTGAGATTTAGCGTGGATGTGTGCTGGCTTTCCCCAGTCAAAAAAAAAGCACAAACCAGATCTGTGCAATTTTTAACCTTACTGAATGAGGAACAAGGTTGCATATGGGCTTAATAACAAGGAAGGAATATAGTATGTGCACTGCAGGGAGGATGAATCACTGCAGCAGATTGCACTATGCCCCAATTTATAGAACAATTTCACCATCTGAGTCAGTTACTATTACTGTGCGGAATAATTACCCTGAGAAGTTGTGGAACAGTTGATTTCAATAAATTATAACACATAACAGTCCTGCCAGTCATTCTCTGACCTGTTTTGCTTTTACAAGTGAAAAGAATTCACCCTGGGACAGGGTAATTGGCAACGAGCAATCCACCAGTAAAAACATAAATCCCAGAATGGTTTTGGCTTGGTCTCCTTTGAGAGCCTGGGGACGACACAGGTTTTGTTTTCTCACTAAACTGCCATCCACAAGTTGTTTACTTGACTCATAACACTGGAGTAGAACTGGTGAGCAGTTCCTGTAGGGGCACATGTAGAAAGCTAAACAAATAAAAGTAAGTAATTGTGCAATGTGTTGGAACGAACACTTGGAGCTACAATACCAATTGCTGCTTTATCCTTTATTGCAAGACAGAGGATCTATTGGATGGAAAAAGAGACCAATGCCCATTTTGTTCATCTTTTAATATCATGG